TTTTCTTGGCCACTCACGCGACATTTTTTTCCATTGCGGATATATGTGCAGTTTCATAAAAATTTAAGTAAGTAGAATTGAAGAAAAATTTGGAAATGTCTATATTCTAACTGCCTAACAACAATACCGTACATTTTTCCAAATCGTGAACCAATGTGACATATTACAACCACAATTTTTTTTTTGGATTTGAAACGCAAATATGGCCGTCGGCAAGAATATGTTATGAATCAACCATCATTCATTGACATAGCCAATAAATTTGGATTGCCTCAAATACTCTTTAATCTATCGACACATTTGCTTTCACAAGGAACTATAAACAATTTTCTAAAACAAAAAAAACAAAAATTTGGATTTTGACTGATCTCCGTTGTGGTCAAATCGGCGTTGTTCAACCTGTGCGATGCTTCTCTTTATTATAAAATATACAAATGTAGATGTTAGCATATCAAGACAGAAGCCCCCCGAAACTTTCCCCCTCATTTAGGGAAATTTTCTTTGTTGTCATATTTCTCAACGACACAAAGTCTTACGCACGACAAACGGAATACGGAATGACTACGAAGTTAGTGCATTATCATACCTCGAATATGTCCACGAAATTATTTTGAATAGCTAAGATAACGATTTCGCATGAGCAACAAAGAGCACACACATTTGTAAAGAGACGAATAATGGTTCGGCTCAGAGAACAATAATGCTTCAGCTATGTACAAAGAAGTGCGAGTGTGTGCATCGTTAAGAGCGTATTCCCATTTTATACCAGAGTTGAACAGAATTAAATAAAGAGTAAATGTGTGGTAGCGGAACTGAGAGAACATCAACAAAAACGACTGACGTAAAGAGAGAGAAAGAGAATGCATGGTTAGCCATCACCGCTATCGTACTATTTTGTGCATTAGTATGGAGGGTATATTAATTTTGTATGGAGGGTATATTAATTTTGTTTTTCCGTTTGTAACTAATCGAATCGAAAGATAATCATTTCCGACCCTATAAAGTTTATATATTCCTAATCAGCGTAAAATTCTATGACGACATACATATGTCCATCTGACTATTTTAATCTCCCTAGCCTCTAAGCGAATTGAGATAGATCGCCAAAAAGTGGCATAGAGTTGTCTTTAGTCTGCAGGCAGCCCCCATATAGCGCCCCCCCCCCAATTTTCGGTATTTTGGAGATTTTGAACGCTTTTTTTGACCAAATTTACTATGTGCTACTATTGAATACCAATATCTCTTTTTCCAAACCAACCTAATTTGCTGTAATTTGGCACTTTGGTTTCTTTTTAGGTACCAAATCTTCACACTAAAAATAATCACTAAAGGTCCCCTTTTTTGGGTAGCCCCCATATATAGGTACCCCCAAAATTTGCGGATCTTGAGGATTTTGGACAAGTTTTCCAATCAAATTGGCTAGTTCTAATTGGTTACCTAATTTCCCCTCTGAAAATTATCAATGGTGAGTTCAATGTTATGGGTAGCCCCCATATATAGGTACCCCCAACCCAATTTTCTGAATTTTCGGGGCTTTTGATCACGTTTTTCAACCGAATTAATTTGGTTTTTGGTATTCGTATTTGGTAACAAATCTCCCTACCAACAATTATGAATATTACTCCCCTTTGGGGAGTGTGTTGGGGAGTGTCTACATATAGGGGTATTCCGCCATAGTAGAGATATTCGTTACTCGAAATTGTCAGTTTTTCCCCTACAACGTATGGAATTCCAAGAAGATTTAGCGATCTGTTGTAATTATTCCACCTTCGGAGGACAACGAAATAAAAAAAAATGTAATCTGACGAGAATGAAATATATCGGCCCGCATTTAGGAATAGGATTATGCCTCCTGATTTTCGTCATTTTTAATTTTTAGCCTGAGGTAAAGTTTTGAGATATAAAATTGAAATATTGGGTTTGAAATTGGGACTATGCATAGCGCCTTATTTAATGATAACTCCGAATATTCGCTAATTCCTACTCGATGTAATCAATATTAGTCCAGATTTAGCAATAGGATTTTATAAACATGTTCCATCCTACCACGCGTTATCAATATCGGTCCACGTTTTGGCGTTTGAGAATTGGTGTGCATTATGGTTTAAATTAATCGATTTGTAGAATTGTCGGTATAGGTCCACTTTTTGGTATGTTTCCTATGGTGGAGGGCAGGGACGTACGCAGGGGGGCGGCCCGGGGGGCCCGGGCCCCCCCCGAAATGAATTTTTTTCACAGTAAATTTATGTATGCAACAGCGAATTTTTTTATTTTGTACTACCGGGCCCCCCCCGAAATGAAATCTTGTGTACGTTGCTGGTGGAGGGTATCCAAGATGCGGTCCGGTCGCTCTTTACGTTTTCATAAAAACAAACCACACGTATTCTCTCAATTTAGATTTACCAATTACCCAAGATGTGGTAAAAACTTAGAGAAATATTTATTAAATTGAGAATAACTACTCTCACTCACTATCGATGAGTAACTTACCATAGCTTTTCTATCTGCAGTATAGCTGTATGTAGATATATTCGCATGTACATCATTATCATTAAAACGTATGGCATCTGTTGATGACAGTTACATTTGCTAATACTCATAATACCTTTACTCGAGAATGAATGTAGCTAACCGTACATACTACTACGTACATACATATAGAAATGCACATACGTATACGTATTTGTGTGTTGTAAATAATTATATGCACATAGCATAGCTAGACAGATATACTGACAAGTGGGTTATCAAATAGGAGTGTTTTGGCTTGCGATAAGGCACATGAGGACAAAGGAAATAAAACAATTGTTTTTAATAAAATGTGTGTATGTATGTGCCAGAAGTTTTTCTGATTTTTGTTTCACGCGGAAATAGCCGTCAGTGGAAAATCTTTCAAAATATTCATTGTATTTATCTCTTTAAAAAAATCCTTTATAAAAATATAATCCTTTTTCATATACCTATCTATAACATCTAGATGAGATAGTTTGACACTGATTTCACTTGGTCTTTGTGCATCTCTCTTTTTATTTATATGTATGCATACTTGTGTGTGCCTGTGTGTCAGAGCGTGAATGTGAAACGAATAAGCGCATTTGCACTTAAATTTCAAGTGAAATTAACATAAAAGAGAATGGAAAATATCGCCACGAGAAACGTTTAGGACGTGTCAATTCCACTTCGATGATTACAGACGGCGGCAAAAATATGTTTGTATTTGTGCATGAAAAAAAAAAACAAAAAACCAATGTTGCCAAAGCTTTAAGGTTTTTCCTAACGCTGTGTGTTTGTTTGTTTTTGCAGCAACATTTTTAATTAACGATTACTAACGCTTCACAAATGGGAAGGTTTTCTTATTTGTTATTTATATGACAAAGTATGAATGTGAGTGTGTGTGTGTGTGATTTTTAATTTATTGAATTTAGCTATAAGTAGATCATCACTAAACGGATATTGTAATATAGTTAGAAAGATAATATGATGAAGTTAAAACAAAACAAGAAAAGTGGAGAACATTCCGCTAATTAAATGAGAAAGGAAAGATAATAAATAAATATTTTTATTTTTGTATTATAAAAACAAAATACTAATTTTTCTTTAACAAGAACCCAAATTATTGAAGTATTCGATGAAAAAATCCGTGATTTCTCCAATTATAAGTTGAGTTTATGTAATGCAATCAGTAGTGACAGTTCAGAATGGAGGATAACTTCAAAAAAACATAACATCGTACTTATCTATAACATGTAATAGCAGTAATAGCAAATACCCATTTAAGAGTTTAAAAGAATTTGTGAGACGGCTATAGGTTAAATATAACCTTGCTCAGCCAGATTGCCTTTCGCAAAAGCTCATATTTATTGCAATTCGACTTAGTGGAGGAATATTATGCTCTCGGATAAATTAATGTTAAAAATTAAAGATTCGGACATGAAAAAATTACCGTGAGAAAGTTCAAAAAACGCCACAGTATTGCAAAGGTACTGGGAAGCTTGAAGGAGTATCAATAATGGTATTGGGTTTGATATATATTTACTAGATTTATGAAGCAATTAATTGTATTGTCTATACAAATTTGTTGGAAAACGCTATGTTTACCTTCCCTAAATAAAAAATATACTACTTGATTGGGTGTTTCAGCATGACAATTACCACAAAAACATGTCAAAGATTGGCTGTGGATTGGAGTAAAAAATCAGGGTTTTGTAATGGCCAACACAATCATCATATAGAAAATTCTTTGGAGTAGCATGCACAGCAAAATCAAAAGAAAAGAGTTTCACAAACAAACAGACATAACCTCTCACCAAAGGTTCAGGATGCAAGGAATAGTATACGCATGGATCAAATTGAGCATTTTATTGATGCAACGCCTCGTAGGTGTTATTTGCTTATTTAAAAGAAAAAAATCAAAAAGTTTTTTTTTTAGTTTTAACCATGCAAAAATTGGGTTAATTTAGTTTTCCATAGAATATTTTTTATGGAAAAATACATTTTTCATTTATTTTTTTTTTGTATTTTAGAATGAATAAATTTTCTATTTATTTCTGTAAAACAAACTGGTAAAGGCCTTTTATTCTGTTTGAAATTTCAGTTGCTTTAGTTTTGGCCACCAGTGTATGTTTTTTGGGGGTAACCGATGAATCTTTCTTTATAAAAAGTTAAATTCTTCTAAAAAAGTATACCCCATATTGTTCTATTAAAATAATTGTCGCATGGTGTGGTGTTCTGGTTGTAGAATAACTTCCCAAGGTCTTCTATAGGAATACTTTCTGCCCTCCAGTTAAGAGATGTAGAAATGAAAGCATAGCTCTTCTAAAGTGAAGATCTTCAACTGATTTCAGGAAATATCCTACAGCTCCTCAAATAAAAAGACATTCTGATTGTCTACGAGAGAATTTTAGTTCTTCTAATGAGAAGACGTTCTGTTCATCCATAATAAGTCATTCGGCTCTTCTTCGAATTAGAAGACCTTCAGATTTCCTCCTGAAAATTCATGTTGTGTGTTCAGATCTTCCTGCTTTGGCTATTTTAGGTATTGGAAGATCTTCAGTTGTTTTAATGAAATAACCTTTAAACTTTTTTATGAGAATATCTTCAGCTCTTCTAACAGCAGATCTTCTAATGATAAGATTTTTTTTTTATCAAAAGAATCGACATATATATTAAATACCCCAAAGTAATTCTATTAATGAAATTCCTAAATAAATCCCCATTTAAAAATAGAACATATTTAAAATAAAAAAAAAAATAAACAATATTTTTTAACCATCCAATAACGTCAAATTATTGAATGAACTTTAATTGCAAATTTTGCAAAGTTTTCTTATTTTTTGTTTTTTATAATCAGTTGGACATTATTCATGGATCATCTATTTTCTTTAGATTCCCTCCCGGAAAGAGAGTAAGAGGAGAAACGGCAAACTTTTTGACTACTTTTTAATCAATTTATGTTCATTGTTTCAGTCATTAATCGTAATGCTGCCAAACTGAGTCGTGAAGAGGGGGCATAAGGCAAAATTGAGTCATAAAAACGCCGAACAGCGCTCAAAGAATATTTGTAAACAGTGACGGCGAGAAGAAGAAAAAATTCGCCCGAGAATGGAGGCAAACTATAAATTGCCTTCAATCTTTTGGAAAATCATGGCAAAACTTTCGTGAACTTTCAATGATTAACTTTTTGCTCTGCCACCACTATTATTGTTAATATTAAGTAACTAAGTATGTTAGTCTGTAAGTATGTACTAGATAAGTAGTGCTTTTTTTGCGCTTTATTATTTACCAACCCCGTGCTCCGCTTTTGCATCTGGGAATTTTGTAAATTTTAATTGTTTCACAGTAAGGCCAGCAGTAAGCCTTCTTGCTATTTTATCTGGCATTTTTTGTCGTTCTCCTTTCCCCTTCAGTTTTAACGACTTGACTTTTTTACAGTTGCCTCATTCGGCAGTGGCAGCGGTAGCAGATAGAGTATAGCCGACAAGAAGCTAGGCAAAAGTGCAGTTAAATAAGTTAAATTGTGGTTTCCGATTACTAAATCCACCACAAGAATAACAATGACCGCACTCAAAGGTCGCAGAGCAGAATAAACATAGGTGGAGGAGGGGGAGGAGAAGCAAGAAGAAGAAATCTACAAATGAAATGAAATGAAACTATTCATAAAGTCGTAAAAAAGTAACAGGATGCATATACATTAACCACAGCATTTGAGGGAGGATTCCACGGATGTTATCCTCCGAGTATTCGCATGATTACCACAGTTGAGGAGGTGTTGTTTTAATAAAACTCTCTCCGTTTTTAATGATTATCTATTTGCTGTTTTAATGGAAGGGAGGGCGACTATTTTCATAAAGTTTGTTCCTCTTTTTTTTTTTTGCTTTACATCATGGCTAAGGGTAATTATGGCTTAGCTTATTGTTTTTAGATTGAGACTTGGCAAATGATTACATTGAGCTATAAAAACAGATCATTAGAGAAGGAAGAGAAATTAAATATTTTTTTTTAGTTTCCGTTTAACAGAAAAAATTAAAGTAGAAATTAATTTATATATAAAAAATGAACAATATTTTCTAATCATATTTCTGTACTCCTATAAGACTTTCCGACCCAACTTAATTAATTGTGACATCTGACAATTTGTAAAATAAGATAGTAAAAACATGTGTATGGGTCGGTACCGATATATGGGGGATAACCAGAAAAAGTCGACCTATATTTAATTTTTTTGGTGGATAAATTTGTTAAGAACCCAATGTACTAAATTTCAGCGAAATCGGTTGAAAAACGCGCTCAATAGTCGCAAAATACCGAAAATGGTGTACCTTATATAGGGGCTACTCGAAAAAATGGGCCTATATTTATAATTTTTAGTGGAGAGATTTGCTACCCAATAAAAACTCACAGTACTAAATTATAGCGGTGAAAACCTCCCAGAAACTGAAAATTGGGGATATTTATATATGGGGATTACCAGAAAAATTGGACCTATATTTAAAATTTTTGGTGGAGAAATTTGGTACCCAATAAGAACCCAATGTACCAAATTTAATCGAAATCGGTTGAAAAAGGCCTCAAAAACTCCAAAATACCGAAAATTGGTGGTACCCTTATGTGGGAGCTATGCATAAACGTGGATAGATATGCAAAATTTTGGCGATCTATCTCAATTCGTTTTGACGCTAGATTGATTACAACAGGCATAAGTTTTGTGTGAAAAGAAGACGCGTTCTCCCATTAGTAGAAGTCACAAGAAGAGGACTATAGACCTTCTATGGGAAGAATAAATAGGAGTCATATGTAGGGAAATTGGATCTATTTCCAATTCCATACGACAAAGTCCTTAAGGAGTTCTAAAGAAAATCTTCTATTGGAAGAATACCTAACGGTATTCACTAAAAATAACACCTAGAAATATTTTACGGCAAGAAGACCTTGAGATGTGCAAATTATGGATTCCATTGAAAAAATTCTGAAAGCATTCCATGAAGAGACATTCGGTCTTCTGTAAAAAAGACGCACAGTTCTTCCATGCCAGAAGTCCTCGAAGTTTTTTATGTAAAAAAAGTGGAGGTTTTATGTGAAAACCAGACCTGGCATTCTCCCATGATTAGAAGTTCCAAGAAGAGGTGGTAGAGGTCTTCAATAGAAAGAAACCCCGGGGGTGTCTTTTACAAGAAGATAAACTTCATTTTTTGATCTGGGGTTTCGGACTCATGATCTTCTGTCAAAAAACCATTAGGTATACTTCTACAAGCCGTTCTGCTCTTCTGGGAGATGATCTTATACTCTCCTGTGAGACATTTAGGGTCTGCTCTTCTATGGGAACACATCCAGATTTTCTGTGAAAGGATCCTATACTTTTCGGTCTGCTTATTATATTCTATAGCTGAATAGAATAAAAGAGCTGAAGCTTTTTTCCTTCAATAAGATGTACCAATGCGTTCGTATCTTCCAGAGGAAGACATTCTTGCCTTCTTTAGGAAGACTTCTGGTCTTATGTTTAATGATCAGAATTTCAGCTCATCTATGAGAACGCCTTCTGCTCTTTTAGGGGAAGACCTTCTGTTCTTCTATGATCAGACCTTCTACTCTTCTATGAGCAGACCTTCTAGTATTCTAATGAGAAGGTCTTCTATGAAAAGAGGGAAGAATTTCTGTTTTTTTTTTTTATAAGAATATCTTCGGCTGCTCTATTGAGAATATCTTTGAATCGATATATTTTCTATGAGTAGACCTTCTGCTATGCTATTAGAGGTTATTAAAGTAATAACAATATTTCACCAAGAAGTAGAAACCCTAACATTTTTTTTGTAGATTTTTAAATTGTTTGTCATTTGAAAATGGAATCAGTTAATATTCCGAGAAAAGTAGAACATGAATTAAGGAGTAACTTCTATATTTTTGGGAGAAATGCAATATAACTTATCATATATTTAAATTAGTAGTATTTTTCTCACAGTAAAATATTATTTTTACAAATACAAATGACAACAACATTTTAAATAATGTGCTCAAAGTCCAATAAAACAATTTCCATTAGTGCAACTAACGAATTATTGGGGAAAAATTTCCCATTTGAATTTGGCGATTTACACATCAATCTTAATTAAAATCTTTCAGCGTTATAATTGCCAGAACCTAAGGTAAACGTAAATCCTCTTAACTAAATGCCTCAATTTGCTTTTTTGAAATACTCAGAACTTTCGATTGAATTCAATCTCAAATGATTTGTTGCGATTTGCTGTTCTCTCTTCGCATTAAAGGTAATCGATGTATGAAAGCATAACATCTCCGGAGTATTGGCATTGGGGAACAAAGGTACTCATATAGATCCTTAACGACTATCTCTGCTATATGAGGGTATAAATGTAGGGAGTAGAATTTACATGTGTAGGAGTGAGCATGTGTGTGGGTAAGGGAACAAAATCAAATTGAGTGCCAATATCACGTGCAAATAAATGACAGTACCCTTGTGGGAGTATGAGTGTGTGTGTGCGTGCGTGCATTTATGTTGCAATCATTTGGCTGTATGTGGTTGTGCGTTTGGTTCGTCTGTGTTACCATTTCTTGAATGCCATTGCGGATGTGTGCCTTTTATGACTCATATGTCAAGCAACATAAATGAATCAGCAATGAATTTACCCAAGAGTCTGTGTTGTTGTTGTTGTTGCTAGTCCTTTTTTTTGGTTACCAACCGAGAGATGTTTGTGCGTGAATATTCCACGTTTCTTCTTTGTGTGAGTGTGTGTGTTCGACATTAAATATAAATTAATAATGTGTGTGTGTGTGTTTATTCATTCTGTGATGTGGCTGTGGCGGCTGCTGTCGCCCAATTTTCGTCTGCCCTTCACCGATATTTCCTCTTTTGCTCGACGCTACTCTCTCATCAGCAGCAGCAGCTGAGCGTCGAGCTTGTTTTGTTTGCCAAGTTATTTGATCAGTTGAGTTGGTTGTGGCTTTAAGGCAGAAAACAGAAAAAAATGTTTCATTTTATTTTTCTTGTTCGGTAAATAATTTCTGATATATGAGCTCGCAGACATATCCATATGTGCGTATTATGTGTGTGTGTGTGTGCATGGAATGTTTTATATGTTGAAAATGCTTCAACATATTCATACATTTAATACAAGCGGGTTTTTCTGAAATGTTCATGTTGATTTTGTGATGGACAAAAAAAGTTTAAAATCCATGTTTGGATATGTCCTAATCGGGGCGGAAAGAGTAGTTCGACTATTGGGTTAAACAAGATATAGCAAGAATACTACTAGGAAGATCTTCCACCCCTGGTGAATCCTTAACACCTCCATGAAATGCAAAAACATGAGAAATTGAGATACGACTAGAGACTCATAAAGGCCTTTTTTAATAAACTAAAGCCCCGACTAGTGTCGTTTTGATATGCGGGGCTGTTTGCAAAATCTGAAAAAACCAAATAAATTCGGAAACAATGAATCGATTTGCGACTCCTTATTCCGATTCCAATTGTTCCGACTCAAATGTGATATTTCTAGACTGTG